CACCCAGGACAGCCTGCACATTTCTTCTTCCCTAAAACAGTCTTCTACCGTTGCTGCTTCTTCGCGAGGGTCACCATCTCATTGAACTAAGACCTTCCTCCCATACCTTTGTTCCTAAATTTTCAGGATTTCTCCAAAATCCGCAATGTGAGTTCATCCTATTTCCTTCATGAAAACTTATACTAATCAAAATGATGTACATTACTTGCCCTACACTTTAATTTTACGTAATTGCTTGCTTGGTTGAAATGGAGATTTTCTTAGGTTAAAAAGAGTGAACTTAGATAGAGATCTTGTTTACAATGAAAAGATGAGGTTGGGGAAAATAGCTTTAATTACTTGGTAAAAATACTCATTCCAAAGTATCGTTTTCATATGACTCAAACACCCTCATGTTCTACATTTGAAGTTGTTTGTTGGCAAATGGGTATATTTCACTTGAATATAGGTTTATGCATAACCTTAGTGAGGAATAGATGTTTATAGGCTTAAGATAACGTAATTAAGTATATCATTCGAATGCAATGGATTATAGGCTTGGATATCGTTTTATTTTATTCGTGAGAACGGTGGTGTAAGTTGGAAATAGACATTGCAAGTATTACGAAATTTCCAAATCATCTTCTCATTTCCACCCGAAAATAGGCATTGTGATTATTATGTAATTTCCGAGGTAAAGAGCTTAAGATCACGACCGACTACATGACTGGTTTAGGTTGATGTCAATGGTATTATACCTGTAAGTGATGCTCTATAACGTTGATTTATGACTTACTTCGTGTTCCGTCATAAATAACGAAAATCGGGTCTCCCCCGTCGTCTTCGGATGTTTTGGCCCCACCACGCTACATTTTAAACTTACCGTTTCTCCCTTAAACCGTTTTAAGTTACCTCATTTTATCCTTATATATATATATATATATATATATTGATATTAAGGCTCTTCTTGATGATGCATATGTTTTACCATTTGAACTCACTAGGCGTAAGCCTAACACCTCTTTTTGAATTGGTTGCTTATCAGGTTCTTTTAGYRGCGGGGKATCAAAGAGTTGAAGTGATTGTTGTCYGAAAAGGGCTTTCTTTTGTAGTTAATAMACTTGDWGTTTCGAGCGTGCRAATTTTTGGTTGATTTCGTATTTTGTTAGAGATGGTAGAAACACCCGTTTTTAATCTAGGCGTAGAATTGTTTAGATTAATAGGTTGTTAATTATCGTCTTTTTGTGGCTTTGTAAACGCTTCACATTTCCCCTCCCGTTGGGTGATTTTCTTATTGAAATTCAAGTTCCCGGCTTTGTTTTGTCGGATATAATTTATCTCCTACCGTGCTATTTTTTCTTTTTATTTTAGGGTGTAACACAATGGGCCGTCAAACAGCTCTCAGTTGATCTTGGTGATACGACGGATCACTCTAGTGTCATCAAAACTATATAAATAATAAATTGAATTAGCATCAATACAAAGAACAATTATTTTTATCAATTAAAAGATATAAATGTATTTACTCTTTTTCGCGGATGCCAATAACCGTCCGCTCTCCGGAGCAGCGCAACCACGGCCAGACTCTATCTCCTCCGGGTGTGTCGAAGCACTACTAGAGGCTCTACCCGTACCGCGGCTAGGTGTACTGCCACTACCTCGACCGGCAATTCAAGTACGCGACATTGTCGATTTTTCTACAAAGCAATGTTAGAAATACAACAATAATTCAAGTATACAATAAAGATTTCACACAATAACAGATGTCGAATAGTAGTTTAATAAGATTTAAAATTTGGAAACAATAAAGATTTAAAACTACTAGACAAAGTTTACTAAGACGAAAATTAACATAGTAATTAATCATCTGGGCAGTGATCAGACAAGTTAAGTTCTCCGTCCTCAGAGTCATTATTCGAGTCAAGTTCTAATTCACCGTGTGCATACTAGTGACTATAATTAATCATGAATCCTTTTATGAACAAGTCTATATGAATCTCGTCTATATTTTTAAACTTTTGAAATTGACATTTCTTACAATGACATCTAGCCGATCGCTCATTAGAGAAATCAAAATCCAAATATCCAACTATTTCGACTTGGAAAACTGGATTTATACTTCCGTTTCTATTTATTCATTTATACATCCATCCTCTATCGATATTAGTCAACATAGTTACAAGTTTACGAAATTGTGCAATTAAATAGAATTTGAAATGTACATGTATTAGAACTATAAATACAAGTCCTAATGTTTGCCCATCAATTGGCAACTCATTTCTAACACAAAATATACTTCAATTAGATCTATTAATACAAATCTTATGTAATTATATATGTTAGAGCAATATTGACACGAAACAAACATTGAAGACGTAAAGGTGTTCTTATGTTCTCTTTTTGATTTCGTTCTAAAGACGAAAATTAAAATTACTCTTAAACATAAAATCTAAATGATGAATCCATTAAAAAACATACATTATAATAAACATTTCAACAAAATAATGACATATCTTGTCCTTATATATCATACACATTTCCAACTAATGAACAAATGCATTACATCATACTCTCCATCATCCTTACAATCACCCCAATTTTGCCATTAATTATCAACAATATATGGATTGGATCATCCATACTAAAGGCTACAAGTATATGGAGATTTCACTTTAAATACTGATAACATTTTGCTCCATCCATATAATAATAAATAATATCAAGTAATCAAAGACCTAAACTTTCTTTCCTTAATGTATATGGGCATATAAATGACAAGCTACTACCATATGCCATACATATATATACAGACATATACATACATATATATATATATAGAAATCGTATACATACATATACATACAAAAATATATTTACATATACATACATATATATATATTATCATATATACATAAAATATATATACATACTGGATGGAAGGAAACGGTCGTCGACGGCAGGGGGCGGAGGGTGGGGGTGGCAGGCGAAGGAGGTCGGTGGTAGGGGAGGAGGTCGATTGAATTGTGGAAGGAAACAATCGTCGACTGGAAATGAGAAGGGATCGACAGCTTGTTGGAAATGAGAAGGGAACGAAGCGGTTGTCGATGTGAGAAAGAGTTAGGATTTGTTTTAGAAAATTCAAGTGGATAAATCCGAAGGATTTTTTTTAAATCGGTTTTTTCATGAAAATATTTCAATTTCCGACGGATGGTTCCATCGATAATCCGCAAGTTCTATATTATTATTATTATTATTATTATTATTATTATTATTGTTATTATTATTATTATTATTATTATTATTATTATTATTATTATTATTATTATTATTATTATTATTATTATTATTATTATCATCACTATTATTAAAGCCTAATACGACCAAATAAAGCCTAATATATCCATTAAAACCCACCAGAATCGTTAAAACCCAACTAACATCCATTAAAATCCAATAGAACCGTTAAAACCCAGCTAACATCTGTTAAAGCCTAATATAACAGTTAAAGCCCAGCTAACATTCATTGAACCTTAGTAGATCCAATAGAGCTCAATAGATCCATTAAATACCAATAGATTCATTAAAGCCCAATACGACCAAGTAAAGCCCAATATATCCATTAAAGTTCAATAGAACCGTTAAAGCCCAATAGAATCGTTAAAGCCCAACTAACATCAACTGAAGCCCAATAGATCTATTAAAGCCAAATATATCAATTGAACGTCCAATACGACCAAATAAAGCCCAATATATCCATTAAAGCCAATAGAACTGTTAAAGCTTAATTAACGTCCATTAAAGCCTAATAGAACCGTTAAAGCCCAATATGACCAAATAAAGCCCAATATATCCATTAAAGTTCAATAGAACCATTAAAGCCCAACTAACATCCATTAAAGCCCAATAGAATCGTTAAAGCCCAACTAACATCAATTGAAGCCCAATAGATCCATTGAAGTTCAATACGACCAAATAAAGCCCAATATATCCCATTAAAGCCAATAGAACTGTTAAAGCCCAACTAACATCCATTGAAGCTCAATAGAACTGTTAAAAGCCCAACTAACATCCTTTGAAGCCCAATAGATCCAATAAAGCCGAATTAACATCCATTAAATCCCAATACGACCAATTAAAGCCCAATAGATCAATTAAAGTCCAATACGACCAAATAAAGCTCAATAGACATATTGAAGCTCAATAGAACCGTTAAAGCCCAACTAACATCCATTAAAGCCCAATAGAAACATTAAAGCCTAACTAACACCCATTGAAGCCATATAGATTCATTAAAGCCCAATATATCCATTGAAACCCAATATGATCAAATAAAACCCAATATATCCATTAAAGCCCAAATAACATCCATTGAAGG